CGATGTGACCTTCAGTTTGACCGGCGCAAAGTAGAAAAGAACAGCACTAGGCCAGAAAAGGAAGGAGACAACTCTCGGCCAAACTCTTAACCGGTGAGGAGCGTATAATCCGTACAGTACAGCACGGAAAATTGACCATTTTATCCACTACAATTGCATTGCTCAAATGTGCTGTTATTGGTACCATTTACTACTGAGAATATCAACGAGATGTTGATTTATATTTGAAGACATATTAAAGGCTTTAACGCTTGTTTTCGAGTCGCACTACTATTCATGATTGAACAACACTTTTCGCAGGTACTGTATGGAAAAGTATGTTTAATGGACAAGACTCGAGAGTATAATTAGCTTTTTTCTCTCTACCTACGATTTTGCCAGCGCGCATCCAAGACATTGGAAGGGGTACATCGCTAGAGAAAGTAAATGAAGTATAACTTCCGTTTCTGCCTCTAATATGTCTCTAACTAGACCTTTATACCTGAGAAAGTGTTCTACTAACCTATCTCGCCTATTTCTTATTGATTTCCATAGAGTCCCCTGTTCTCTTACTCTTTCTAATACCTCTTCATTTCTAACCTTTTATATCCACGGTATCCTTATCAATCGCCTATAACACCACATTTCGAACGCTTCTAACTTTTTCTTTTCCGCCGCGCCCACTGTACGATACATGTTTCGCACCCAAATATACACCTTTAACAACATTTTTCGAATTTCTAAATTAACCGTTCGCGAGCATAGAAATGACTTCTTTTTATTGTATGCAACTCAGTTCTGCGCTATCCTCTGCTATATATCCGTACTACTCCTTCCGTCCTGACTTACCTGACTTTCTAGATATCTAAAATTGGCCATTTCTTCTAATTTTTCGTCTCCTATCTTTATATTCACTCTTTCCCTACTTTTCCTTTTCTTGCACACCAGTATTTTTGTTTTACTTTTATTTATTTTCATACAGTACTGTTTTGTAAATACCGCTTCCATCTTATTTAAAGTTGTCTTTATTAAAGCATAATAAATAATAATCAATACTGTACGAAAAATCTGAAAAATTTGATTCAGTTGCCTTAATAAAAACTAAACGTGAAACAAAAGCTTATTAACAATTAGATGAAAAAATAAAAAAAATACAATTTTTAAGGATGCATTATTTTTGACGGTTTGAAATGGTTAAATTTTGTCATTTTTGTTTGGATTTTTAATTACTCGAATCATGCAGATCATGGGCATAATTTTTGATTATAATATGAAATAGGATAAACATGTTGAATATACATATATACATATATTAAAGGAAGCAAAATATTTACTGTATATTAGGGTAGTTTTTTGCTCTTACCTTCTCAAATTTTTCGATTTAATGGAAAAATAATCCTCACCAAAGATGAGCGCTATAGCTCAACTGGAAAAGGTCGCTTTTTTATTTTTGTTTACCATGGAAAAATTTTGGTTTTTATTCAAATTGAAATGACATGTAATCCGGTTAATTTTTTTCAAATAACCACAATATTCTTAAAGATGTCCCTTTGAGCTTTCCAAACTGTATAATAACGCATCATTATCATAATTATAAGGCCAGTTACAGTCACCTGAAAAATACTAGGTATATTTCTTACTACAAGGAAATTGTTTATAATAATTCTTTATGTAAATAATTTATTATTTATAATTTTCATCGATAGAGGTGATTAGAGTGTATTTTTACGTTTTAGAAGTTTTAAAAATGGTTGTCGGAAACTAATCATGTGGCACCACTTATGATAATTGAAGCATACATAAGATTTCTTGTGTTAAAACTCTAGTAGTAATTTTCCTAATGCCAATTATGAAATTATCTATATAAATTACAGAACAGTTGACTGGACACCGTTGTTGACGAACGCGATTTTGATAACGATTTAAATGCTTTTTATAATTCGATTAACAAACGGATTTCTAGTCATGTGCCTCTCCAACAGCGATTCCTGGTATGATCCTGAACATATTAGATTGATAATTAAGAAAAATGAAGATTGGAAAAACTTTGGCGGTTGTTGTAGAACAAAGAGAATAGCTCAAAACCCCAACGCCAAAACAAGACACTGTAGTTGTCCGAAGCACTTTTCGGTAACAAAGTTACCTTCACATTTCGCCTGACGTCGTACTAGCAATTACAGTCTTTATTTAGACTTTAAGGAATTAAGGGCTATTAGAAAAAACAGAGTTCTATACAAGAATCATATTGAAATACTTTGAATTTTGTAGAGTTAATTTAACG